AGATTAGTGGCAATGGCAAGTGTATCCTGCAGCTGCGACAGATAACCCCGTCCACGGTGAGTGAGTCTACCGGTGCATCATCTTCAAACGAAATGCCGGTGCCAGACTCTGCAAAGCTCGTCGATGATGTACAAAGCGGAATAGTGCCAGTCCATAGTACAAAAATGGGCGTAACCAAGAAGGATATCCAGCATTACATCAACTATCTTCAGCGTGATGCAGGAATACTTCGGGGAGCCAACGGAGCCTGGAATAATGCGCTCCAACAACGACTATACACATGGCTACTCAAGGAAAAGAAGGGCTCAAAGACCAAAGCGATTATGGACAAGGACCCTGACATCGACAACAAGCAAAACGTCAAGGACATCGTGGACAAGAAGCACAGCCATAAGGACAAGGACGTGGACGACAACATCGCGGACAACAACAACAACNNGAACAAGGACGTGAACAAAGATAACGTGGACGAGAACCAGAACGGCAACCACGACCAGAAGACTGAGAATGTGGAGAACGATGATTCGGACTCATCGTCATCTTCGAGCTCCAGTGATTCGATACGCCCGCTTCCCGTAATTGACACCTCCCATTGGAGTTCCGATTGGCACGACACGTGGGAGCATATTCTTACCTTGTCCAGCCATGTTGATTCTGAACGCAAGCGCCGTCTCTTGATTTCAATGCTCCGCACCATCGCCCACTGCCATGCAAAATGGCATGAGCGGTAACTGCGCATGACATGCAGTCGTTCTGTCTTCCCGCGGGCCAGCTTGAAAAAAGATTGACTTTGCATTGGTTGCGCTCTCGAGCCACCTTCTGTGCCAAACACATGGTTATCATTGTATGGCGTGGTTCCAAGCGGTTCATAGNNTCATCGAGTTCAGCACAAAGTGAAAGATAACAACCAACAAACAAGGTTATAAGTTATAACCCATATGTGTGGTTATATCCGTTGTCTTTCACATATACTAGTCTCTAGTCGCGCCTCTTCGTCGAGCCAATGGATTCCTCCATCGCATACAAGCGTGCCCTACAGGAGATGACAGTCTACGACTTCACCCAGGTCGAGGTTCCATTGATATCGCGGCAAGACGATGCCACGGGTTGCTTGCAGGACTTGCCATTGAAGGACATGGAAGGCCGTTACCTCGCCAAGATAGTCATTGACTTGGTTACGGATGTGCTATGGGAGTCTGTGAATTTCCAACAGTTGGAGGAATGCATGATGCAGAAGCAGTACAATGAGCTCCCGCCTCCATTTGGTCCCAAGGTGGTTATCTCCATGCCGTATACACTGCAGATCGCCATCATGAAGACGAGCCTCACACACTGCACAGTAGTCAAGTATTACTCCTTCGACCAAAAAGTCAATCTACGACTGGTCGAAGACATGGTCTATGGCACATTGNNCTAATGGACTTCACTCCCAACTTCCGTGCCGGACCTTTGGCTATACAGCTCATGCTAAAGCAGATGTCGCACTGGTTTGCCCACCACACGCAAGTGACACCAAAACCTCCCAAGGAGTCAAAGCCCAAGCATAATACCGACGACCTGCAGAGTGGCTTTGCCTACATCAAGGCCAACGGTCCCAGAACCAATATTGGTAACCAGCAAATTGAGTGGGCGGAAATCGAAACCCGGCGGACCGACAGTCCGCTCCATGGATGGTCAGCTGGATTGGTTAAGGAATGCCTGCGAGGGCATGCGAGTGGGATCGTGTATGCGAAGACCATGAACGACTTCTATCTGACCCTGCATGACCTGGCCGCCTGGTTCTTAGACGACGTTGTTGTTGAACTTCTTGGAGATCTCAAGTCAAAGACCATTGTGTTTCTCGGTTTGGCTGAGAAAGGAAAGACACCGGCAGCGCAAGCTATCGCCATGGCAGTCAGTGAGTACTACATTATGCGAGACAACAAGGATGATGGTATTCAGCCGGGTTTCCGTATCTGTTCCTCCCTTGATCAACTACGAGGAGAGTCGGGTGAGAAATATCGACCGGACATACTTGATGATCCGGATATCAACATGGTGCCAATCCCTAAATTGAAGAGTTTCCTGGACAGCTCCCTCGCAGAATGCCACACAGTTGAGAGATGGACAGCTGCAA